GTCTTTACTCGCTCATAGTCATCCTCGCCCAGTAATGTCTCTCGTTCATTTTACTTTTTCTAATTCTTGGTTGTTCAGGTATTATTTGGAAGTTACTTTTTGTAGACTGTGGACTTCTACAGGAGATGATTGGTATTTCTTGTTAATTTCTCTCTTTGTGTTCCATGTTTTTTCTGCTAAATCTTCGCTGTTTTTTATTATTATTCTTCTTGTTCTTCTAAGTTCTTTCTCGCTCTGTGCAATGCATTTTGTTTTTCTCAAAAAGTGAATTGTTTTCATCATTTCACATACGATTCTTGACACGCTCCGTGATTGCAATCATTAGCAGAAAAACAAACCAAAGGTACGAGTTAGCAGAAAAAACATGGAACACATACATCTGTGTTAGAGCAACTGGCCTGAAAACTGGCCACACAAGTCACTCTGAATTCTAGCTACTCCTTCACGGGGTCACCTCCGAGGGTTGTTTGGTGCCTGGTATAAGTAGCAGCCCCAAACCAAAGGTACGAGTATGTAGAAGAAGCAGTTAAGCAAGACACGGTCTTGGTAACCAATTGTTTGCGTAGCGTTTAAGCAGTCTTCCAACAGAGTTGCAATGGTGTGATGGTGCAGGAAAAGGATTGCAAGAGCACCAGATGACTATCGACTCAATTAAGATTACCCACACAAGAGACACATATGCATATGGAATCTCACCCATGCAAGCTACCGATCTTGACCTAGCTGCACCACATTAAACCATGTCCACTATTTCAGCACGAGGACGTTGGTTCCACAGGTCCATACTCGCCCACACGTTGGTCCATACTTTCAAAATTCACCTGCAATGTTCCCATGAAATTCACCTGCAAAAATTTCCTGCCCATTTGTAGGTTTGTCATCTGCAGCATTCACATGTGGATAGCAACGTCTTTCACCTGCGAAATATGGTCGCTGATAGTGCCAAGTGCTTGTAGTTGCAACACCCAACTAGCATCATGCCATTTAACATGAATCCACATGCCATTCACCTGTGCATTCCCTCACTCCTCCACGTACATTTATGGATACACTTGTCATACTCCTTTAACACTTCATACATATCCCGTCATATACCTTTCATACGCATGCCTTCATATACCTTGCATACCTTATTGTGTACCTTATACCATTCCCATCCATCCATATTTTATATACCATACATCCCCCTCAACGCACCTATGAGTTTCCTAGTAGTTCTCATCATCTCCCCGTGAAGCCCTAAAAGCCTTCCATAAGGCTTCTATGAATCTCATGTGAAGGTCCCATGAGGGTCCCCCTCAGGGTCCAGTGAGAATCCTGTAAGACTCCCGTCAGACTCTCGTGAGGCTGTCCTCTACATATGAATCATACGAATGCAAGGGCTTGAAACCTCCCAGCATGACGATCCTTTCACCAAAGGCCTGCGATGACTGAGGTGGTTGGTTGATGTGCAAAGTAGCATTTTGCACTAACAATTTGAATTGGAAGTGATGAGTGCAAAATATCTATTGGAATTCACAAATTGTGTTGTTTAGTCACTACTCTATGGACTTCCCCCAAGCTACAGTAGCATAGGGGAAGCGATAGAAAGGTTGTATTTTTCATTAGCAAGAAAAATGACAGGAAATTGTGAAAAATAGATGATCGACATTTGTTTTCTATTAGTTCAACTAAAAATACATGCATTTATTTTTAATACTTATGTTCGATTACAAGTACAACAATGTTTCCTGAGTATACACTAAATGTTACAGAGTGCATAAAAAACAAGCTTAAAGATCCATAAAATTTGTGGTTTTTTCTTCTTCTTCTTAGGCCTCTTCAAGTTTAGGATGAAAATAGATTTCCTCCGATCGATTGCAATAGGTTGCTCCGCAACCCAAAAACAAGAGGCGACAGATTCATCTTAGGGTTGCAGAGCTCATTTCAAATAATTTGAAGTAATTTATTTTCAATGTTTTTTTTTTTTTTTTTTTTTCAATGTTACTTTGGTTCTTGCCTTTTGGTCACCTACCTTTCTTTCTCGCACTTGATTCTTACGTACTAACCACATGGCAAATGACATACCACCTCTCGAACGATGAAGCTCCGCTCTCTGTCTCTCCCTCCTAGGAAACAGGGATTTCGCTATGACTTACATGTGTTCCTTATCTACCATTATGCCGTAACCTCGGGTCCTTGGTGGCCTGTTTGCCATGGTAGGGTTGGTCCAGATAAGTGCTGCCCTGTTTTTCCTAACTTTGGTTTGGTGAGCAGGTCCGGAGGCCTTTCTTTTATCAGGGTCCAACTTCAGTCACCTTCGGCTTATACTACTCTCTTTCTTTTTTGCGTCTTGCCTTTCTTTTCATTCCTCCTTCCCATGTGTTATTGTACCTGTTTGTTAACCATTTTTCTCCTCGTCTGGTGTTTTGGCAGCCTTTCATTCTCACCTGGTACAGATCTGCGCTATCCTCTTGTTTTCTACAGATCGGCTGGCACGTGAGCCGTTTTTCCTCTTCCTTGGCGGCGGATGTCATTTCTTCATGCATTGGACAGTCTTGCGTGATCCACCTCACGCTTGAGCTATGCTCACCTGTGTGCCTAGGCCATTGCCAAAGCCACGTTTTTACAAATTTTCTCTCTCCTTCAATGTAGGCGCTCGATGCGGCTCGATGTTCTTGTCATGTCCCGTTCCCTCCGCCTTTGGCCTCCTTTTCATCATTAAGGGCCTTTCCTTCTCTTCCCTAAGCGTTCTCGCATGATGGCGTCCAAGCATAACCCAGAGGAGTTTATGGAGGCTGCCGAGCTAACTCCCATCGCTGATGTTACTGCTTCCTTTGCCCCTGACGAGGAGTTTATGGAGGCTGGAGGATCCTTCTTTCCGCCTTCCAAAAAGCCCTGCAGGGAAAAGACTGCTCCTGCAGTGGTAAACTCCTCTTCTCGGCCGCCTCGCCCAATGGTCGTCGAGCCTCAGGCGAATGCCGTTCCCTTCGCGGTCAACCCTTCTGCTCGTTGCTCACACCTGCACCGCAATGAGTGTGGCCATCACCCTCGAGGTCGACCCCGACACGGTTGTCATCATTTCCCTTCCAAACTCATTTGTTGTTGTGCATCGTCCGATCTTCGAGTTCATTCTCAATTCAGCAAAACCCAGGCTGTTCCACAGCGGCGTCATTCCACATTTCAAAGAGTCTGTTGGGGACTTGCTTCGTGTGCCTCGCGCTTCGTACGCTACTCACGTTTTTACCTGGCCCTCCGCGGACGATGCTCTTAACTTTGCTGGTCCACTTCTCCTGCGACGAGTGCGGTGTACGTGGCAGCAATCATCGCTCCTGCGACTACAGCTCCTTTGCCATGACGAGGAAGTCCTCGCTCCATAACGCTCTGCAAATTTCCATGACGCAACTTCAAGCTGTCAATGGTATGCGCCTTGCCCGGCTGTTTTTGCTGTTACATGCTCGTGTCTCTCTTCCTTGCCCTTTCCTTCATTTGTTGTCAGCACCCCTTCGTGTCTTCAATTGCCTTCACCCCTCTGCTCTGCTCCTTCTGCCTCTGCTTGCCCCTGGCCTTACAGGGAAAGCCATTGGCCAGAACCCCATTTCCGTGGCCTTCAAGGAAGCGGGGGGCTCATCTACATTGGGCTGCACAAAGAAGTCGAGCCTTGGACCTGCGAGTTCGCTTGTGGTCGTGACTTGGACTCTGCCAAGGCCCATATGACTTGCCCCGGTCATCTGGGAAATATGTGCAAGGCCTCGTCTCTCACTGCATCCCTCCCCGAGTACATGTCTCTCACCTGCTGCGCCACGAGAGTCAGCAATTCTTCCTCTCCGAAGGATATCCGCAGAGCCTCTGCCCGTGCTGTGTTTGGCCGGGGTCTCTGAGGTCCTGGTTCTCGGAGTGCTTCGTCTTTTGCTTCCACTAGCCAGTGGTATACTTGAATGTTCCCATCCTCTTTACTTGGCTTTGAAATATGAGATGTGGCTGGTTCCTTCCTTGTCTGCCTTACTCAGCTCAAACCTACTACCGTGCTAGTCGCCACGGCAGTGCCACAGCTGCCCCCTTCCCTCTCATTGATATGGTTTGGCTTCTCTCTACCCCGTGAATGAGCATGGACTTCCATGCTGGGGTATTTCCCTGGTGAAGGTTACATCCCTCAAGAATTAAAATTGATTTATTAAAAGGCTGGATCCAGGACAAAGCCGATGTTCTCATTCTAATAGATTCTAAGATCACGGGATTTATCTCCCCCTTAGTGAGAAAGCTCCGTCCCTCATCCTATGCTCATACTGCTACTCTAGTTAGATAATCACCCTAGGCCTGGGGGTGTGGCATTTCTTAGCTTCAATACACGTGTCTCCTTTTCCAAAAAGTTTCTTCTCCTGATAGACGACTGCTTGGTATGGTGGTTATTTTTTGCCATGATCAATTTACCCTCATCGGTTTGTATGCCCCTGCACAGGCCTTTGATCGCCGCCCAAGGTGGGGTGAGATTCTTGCCCTTGCCATTGCCATGGAAGATATGTCAACTGCCTAGTCATCGCAGTCGAGTTTAATTTGTCATGGACCCCGTAGACCGCACCCGGGACCTGTTGTATCAGAAGAAAGTGAGATCAGTAGATTTATAAGCCCCACTCTTCCCCTACCTCGCTTCTTGACAGCTTCCGTTTGCTGGAGCCCTCAGAGGCCATTTTTACATTTTACTCTTTCTCTCGGTCACTACCTCGGCATGATTCCAGACCTGACAGGATATATGTCTCCCAAAGCTGGCCGCATCACATCTCTGCCTTCTCTCACACCTGAGTTCCCCACACGTTATCTGATTACTCCCATTGTCCTCGGCTCACCTTATCCTTTTCTAACCCGCACTGTGCTCCCCAACCATGGTGTTTTCCTCGCAACTTGATCCACAGACCATACGTTGCCAAGGCACTCTCTGCTGCTGTAGCTGCCCTCCCTCTGTCCTTTTCCCCTGCGGAAAGGGACTTATGGAAAAATGACATACAGTATATAAGCATATGTGT